TACCGGTATCTAGCTTATTAGCCCACTCCACGAATCTGCATCAGCAATACTTCATTTAAATTTAGATGTTCCAGTACTGAATTCAATCAATTAAGTTAATAATAAAATAAGCAAATAAACAATGATGTCTTCAAATTCGAATCTACAGGCAAAAAAAAAATCACAAACATCGCACATCAAGAAGAGCGCGATCTATGGACGCACCCACACATTCACGGCGAGCAGAAACGCCGGACCAGCGGTCGCCATGGCAACGCACATTGACCAACCACGTCCTCTGATGATATTATCAAAGATGAGAATTTCTGAGGCTCAATGACTATTTATTCAGTTGATCATATCATCAGTTGATTTTTAAGTTTAATAAAATCAACCTTAAGTTTATTTTATTATTAAAAGAGTTGAAGAAAATATTCTCAAAGGGATATCGAACATATTAGAAATTAATTATTTCGACATACACAATGAGACTGAGATTTTCGCACAAAAGGCCTCTGCGGTCAACATGTGTACGTTTAAGTATTTTAAAAACATGTTATTTACAAAGTAACGCCACCAAAAAAACTACACTCATTGGGACAAGTACAAACAAGTCAGACCTACGGCGTTCGACCAACAATTGCAGGTATAAGGACTTCAAAATAAAAAATTATGGCCGCAACATCGCCGGCAGTTGCTAAACAAACAAGAAAACTATCGGTCAATAAAACAAGGCTAAACCATCTCTCCATGGGACCCCAAAAAACACCGTATTATGTACAGAATTAGAACAGTACGATTCTGATGTGAGGATCACAGTGATAGGAACTCGTATAGGCCTAATCTTGGTAGATTTAGAGCTCCTGAATTTTTTTTCTCAAGAGAGACGACTTATCGATCCTACGCATCTTAATCCCTATTGGCTGCTAATCAGCTAAGACGTCCGGAAAAAGCCATCACAAAAAATAGGAAAGGCGAATGCCCAGATATTGGCATTGTTCCAGTGCTTGAAACTAGAAATGACGCAAACCATGAAAACAATTTTATTCTTTGGTAAAGAAATGGACAATCAAGTGAAAAAAATCACGTACTTATGCGCTATTATCTTTTTCTAATACAGGAAAACGCCAGAATTTGCCAAAAAAAACTAACAACGGTGAGTTGAATTTCACCTTGCAAACTAAAATTGCGTTCATAACACTAACAATCACGCCACTTGCTGTTAAGCTATATATTACCTCTACTGTACATGCACGACAAGCTATATAGTATCAGGCATAACAAGTGCAAGCTCAAGATTTGCTAATATATCGTCAATTAGAATAAAATTACCACTCAATTAATACAAATAATCTTGGTAGAGTCGAAACTTAATAAACTTGAGATACTCGTATAACTTAGTGGATAACATATAGCGTAGAGGTAGGTTTATATACTGTGCTAGAATTTCCATTTCGTGTTATTAGGTTCTGAGGAACCAGGTGATAATTATAAATTAATCTGTAATATTTAATAGCTTATAATGGTAAAAACATCCTCGACACGACGAGTTTTTAGCGGAAAAAATTTCGTACAATTTAATAAATTAAATTATTAAATGAAAATCAATGTAGTCGCAACACTATCATCGTAAACCGTTGCTATCATCGAACATCGTCACAATCATTGAACATCGTCACAATCATCGAACATCGTCACAATCATCGAACATCGTCTCAATCATCGAACATCGTCACAATCATCGAACATCGTCACAATCATCGAACATCGTCACAATCATCAAACTTCGTCTCAATCATCAAACATCGTCACTATCATCGAACATCGTCACTTTCATCGAACATCACGAACTATTATCGCGCACATCTCGTCACTATCATCAATCATATTATCACACACATCACGTTATATATAATGTTGCTGAACTAAGATCCGTAAACCCAGTAACATATACAATGCCTCCAGGAAATAGGGTTTCCAAGCATGGTTGTCACGAGAATTTATAGTAGAGTCTGAAAGTAAAAATAATATTGTCAATAACTGAACCATCATTAACACGTCACTATTTCGTGCAGCCCATGCAAACCCCTAACCTGTTTTCTCTCCCCGTTCAACCCAAACTAGCCAACACAATTATGCGCCTATAGCGTTTTTTTTTTACTTCTAGTCTGTTCCATTTACCCTTCCTCTTTCCAGTCAACCTGTGCGACCTCTCGTTTTTCCCTTTATTTCCCAGTGGCCTCCCTCACACTCACAACTGTGATCCAACTATACTGGATATATGGTCTATGTATAGAAGTCTACCTACAGACATACCACTTGGTAGACTATGTCTACCTGCAGACATACCACCTGGTATATTATGTCTACCTGCATACATACCACCTGGTAGACTATGTCTACCTGCAGACATATACCACCTGGTAGACTATGTCTACCTGCAGACATACCGCCTGGTAGTCTATGACTACCCGCAGACATACCACCTGTTAGACTATGTCTACCTGCAGACATATACCACCTGGTAGACTATGTCTACCTGCAGACATACCACCTGGTAGACTATGACTACCCGCAGACATACCACCGACGTAGACAGACATACCACCTTGCAGTAAATGACATGACGTCAGAATAATAACCGGCCTTATTGATAAATTGTGACTTCTAGCAGTATTTAAAGCCGTACTGATAACTGATACCAACGATACCTATTCATTATATAGCCTTTCCTATTACTTATCCTGAAATAAACTAATTGATAACTAGCGCCATTCTTCTATACGTTATTGGGGCAATTTGATAATTTGAAAATTACTATAGAATTTTCCACGCTTTACTAGCTCACTATGGCTAGCCTTCGCTAAGCAACTTATTCCTATTACCTGTACTCTCATGTCATACCGTTGACGCTCATCAGTGAATGGTAAACATAAAAATTAGGGGTTATCACAGTAGCAAAAAGTAAAACCCTCACGCCAGGTATTTAAATTTAGGTGTTTATCTTCGGTATACTGAAAACCTAGTTAAAGAAATTCTGCATATAACAACAAAATATTTATATTATAAACGCACATGAATAGATCAAGTGACTGTACTTTAAATATCGATTTCCATTCAGCGGTGGGAAGCATTTCGTGCCGTAACAAATTTTATGGAGTTTATAGGCGGCCAATCATTGAACGACGATGAATTGACGATAATTTCCGTGAAGTTTTGTGTGCCGACCTGCTTACCAACTCATCCGTCACGGCAGGGAAGTCGCGGCACGCGGGGAAATAGGATTGATTTAGGCTCCGTGTGACTTGTAATAGTAAAATGATTCCGGCAGGAGGTAGATAATTGATAAGCTTTCATGCCAAATGGCAATTACATCCGAATTAACTATGGTCAACGTCAGCTATGCAAGCTTCGCTATATCTCCCAATTTGATATGAGAAACACCAATACCGGCCCCACTATAGCTTTGGCCATAACTGAGACGATGTGAGCGTCAGAAAGCATTTATAAATTGCATAGAATCTTGGTCCAATAACACACTGCGACATAAAATCTTTGAAAATGCAGTACTAGTAATGATTTTAAAACTATTCCATGAAAATCGAAAGGTCGACGATAACGTGCGTTCGAGATCCGTAGCAGCTTTTAGTGGATAAGATTTGAACATGTGACGACGAAATGTACGACAGTTATTGAAGCTTTGAAAACAAAACAGCGTCGCTCTCGACCAAAGTAGACTTAAATCAAGTAGATTTTACAAATCAGAAGTTCAGGCGACTTTTAAAATTTACAATTACAGGCAGATAATGAGAAGGCAGACGCGTTCTTCTGAAAATATTCCAGCCAGTTGCTAACAAGGCACACAGTTCAGAAATGTTTATGCATACACAAGGACAATATATACATGTAAAATCCTCGGAAGATCAGAAAAGTATGCAACGCCAGGGCGACAAGTAAATACATTATACCCGCCAAATATCGATAGATTCAGACATATGTAAGTATATGACATATGTATATATATATATATAGGTATATAACACAGATATATGTATATATATAACACAATATGCTTCACTGTGGTGCAAGAATCTGGGCTAAGTGGCTGAAGTCAAATTCTATATAGTCCCTCTAGGATAGCGAGGATCAGGAGACCATCAAGATATATACGTACTTCACTTGGTTGGTATAGGACAGCTCACAAAAGTTCTAAAGGTATTTTCAAGGTTTCATGTGCGGAAAAAAAGTTACAATCTTTATCTAATATCAGATCAACCGAATGCGGTCGATGGCGACGTAGAAAAAAAATCAACGCCTTCCAAAAATTAAAAATGAGGATCACCTTCATGAAACATTGAAGAAGTTAGGCTCATGAACGATATTTCTTGGTTGCTTCAGCAAATGCAGTTTTGGAAAAGAAGTAAAAACTATAGGGTCGTTGCCATTCAAGGCAAGCGACAATAATATTGGTCAAGCAACCAAGTGGAACTATAAACATTAAAGAAAATCGTGACTTTAGTTAAACCTCAGTGAGAGAAAAAATAGCATCGAATAATTAGCATCACACGAACGTGGTGACCGGCAGTTCCAGTAAGAACCACTACCTAATCACTCACTCTGAGCTGCAACACATTAGCCGCTTTAGGTCTACGGAAACTAACTGTCGTCAACGCTGTTCGCATCAATATAGATGCAAACGCGAGTTACCGTCATCAGACGAAGTATTCCTACCTAATTTAACGGTTTACGCGAGTTACTGTACAAGTTGAGAAAGGTTAAATGAACTAACAGAAGAGATATACGAAGCTCACGGTATTGCAGTAACCAAGTTAGGTGGCGGTCAGTGACGGATACCCGACCAAAATTGTACACTTCAAATGACACATGCATCAGATTTTAGCTGCAAATGTTCGAGATTTCACATTTGTGGTACATTTCATGGATATAGTTTTGATTTTGCTTCCCAGTTTTAGCCGAACTACCTTAGTTCCTAGCTTAATGTTAAAGTAACGAATACTCACATTGGGTTGGATGTATTCCAGTGGATGTAGTGCATCTTGGTGGCTGTAGTGGAAGTGATGAGGCTTGTAAGGTGGAACGCAGCCACCAACCCTACCGTAAACACCGATACACCACCAGCACAGCTCAGGCTGGCGCTGCAACGCACCATGGTTGTGGTGGGGTTTGTGTCGAACAACCACCAACCACAAGCACACTCCCAACACACAGAAGCTATAACTGTATTAATTGATCACTGGCTTTAATATTTACGACAATCGTAGCGCAGATATACGACGGGTTCTGAAACTTGTTACTTACAAGCCAAGCTTCAAAGCTTGGGCATCAATGCCGAGACTCGAACACGACGCGAACATCGGGTAACTTCCACCGAGATTTTCCTTTCACGACGGCAAGACACGGCGGTGAATATTACACTCACTTTAATTTAATTTCCTAAACTAGCATTAAGTTAACAAGTTAGGCAGTAAATTAACTTTAAATATTAAAGTTAAGTTATTAAATAAGCCTGTCAAAACTGCGAAAAAATACAGGACATGGTCAGGGGTGGAACAACACTGCACTGAAATAATGGTTCCACAAAGAGCATTCTGGAAGACTAGGATTCGGCCAATAGGTGAACGTGGGCATTAAGAATTATTAGGCACAAAAAAGAGGGGGAGAGAGCGAAAGAGAGATAAAGAGAAGGATAAGCTCCAGAACTGATGACAAATTTATTGAGGGCTTCATAAGGCTAAGAAAATTGCGGACGCTCGAACAGGTCTGAGAGCAGCAGATGAGGAGGCAGAGGTCAAACTGACGTCTTATCTCACGTGCAATTAATGTCCTTGATACGCACACGGCACGACACTTGCACTGAGATCACTTCTAAACACGACCATTAGTTCATTCAGTTCACACGTTTCAATAACTGAACAAAGCATCCAAGGAGAATGAAAGAAAGGAGACGACGGAAACCGCGCGTACCTCCCACCACCGAAGCCAGACGCACACTGACCCAACGTTGACCCGCGGGTGGCCGATGTAGGAGGAGCCGGGACTGCCAGCCCCTAAATTACACCTTTTTCGCAGGTGATTCCCGGCCCTCACCTGTCTGATAAATAATACGCTCTCTCGACGCCTCAACCATCAAGACTACGTTATTTACAACACCTCGATAAGCAGGGCACGCCAGCTTCAGTCGTAATGCAGACATTCGAGCCTACGTCGCACAACACTGCCGACGTTAATGAACAACTATTTAGGAGGAAGAATGCTATGACAACAGAAATTGCATGTGATAATATTTAACATATTTCTTCGAAGTTTTCGATTAGTTAACACTTGACACTGAAGAGAAACTAAATATTGGTAAGCAATCGAACCGTCAAGGGCATACACGCATACGTTGGTTGATCAGGATACGTGTCAGGAGACAAGGGGAAAGAAAGAGGAACATTTCTGCAGGTAACGGAAACAAAAATTAGGGAAACTGCAGGATGAGAGGTGATAGACGTAGGATCTGAAGGCATAGAAATTGTGCAAAGACATTGCCGTTACTGCCACGTGCATGTCCATCAGGCACGATGGACACTGGACAGTACCTACGGAAACAGACATGATGGACACTAAACGGTAACCACGGACACAGGCACGATGGACACTGGACTGTAACTGCGGAAACGGGCACGATGGACACTGGACTGTAACTACGGAAACAGGCACGATGGACACTGGACTGTACCTACGGAAACAGGCACGATGGACACTGGACTGTACCTACGGAAACATGCACGATGGACACTGGACAGTACCTACGGAAACAGGCACGATGGACACTGGACTGTACCTACCGAAACAGGCACGATGGACACTGGACTGTACCTACGGAAACAGGCACGATGGACACTGGACTGTAACTGCGGAAACAGGCACGGTGGACATTGGACTGTCCCTACGGAAACAGGCACGATGGACACTGGACTGTGGCTACGGAAACAGGCACGGTGGACACTGGACTGTGGCTACGGAAACACGCACGATGGACACTGGACTGTGGCTGCGGAACCAGGCACGGTGGACACTGGACTGTGGCTACGGAAACAGGCACGATGGACACTGGACTGTACCCACGGAAACAGACACGATGGACACTGGACTGTACCTACGGAAACAGGCACGATGGACACTGGACTGTAACTGCGGAAACAGGCACGATGGACACTGGACTGTACCTACGGAAACAGGCACGGTGGACACTGGACTGTGGCTACGGAAACACGCACGATGGACACTGGACTGTGCATGGCCTGTCTCTTATACACATCTAGATGTGTATAAGAGACATGTAGATTACGAATCTGAAATCCATTTTTGGCGGTCGGCATCGGAAAACCGATTTTTTTCGCGACTTACTAACATGGGGGTTACGTAACTTACGTTACCCACTCACCTTTATTTACTAACATGGGGGTTACGTAACTTACGTTACCCACTCACCTTTATATAAAGGGTCGGATTGTTCATCGAAATTTTACAAAAAGCTCTTAGGTTGGGTTAAGTCAGCCAAGTTCCTTTTTTTAGATAGCATTTTGATCTAAAAGGAACCTGGGCGAACCAACCCAACCTGCGAGTTGGCGTTAGGTTGTGATCTCTCGATGTGGCAATGTATCTCCAGATTTATGGACAAAGAAGACGAAAATGTTACCCGTTGCAGTGCAACGGGTAACATTTTCGTCTTCTTTACCCGTTGCAGTGCAACGGGTTAGGCATTTTTAGCGCGATTTTTGGGTCGGAAAAAAATCGGTTTTCCGATGCCGACCGCCAAAAATGGATTTCAGATTCGTAATCTACACCCCAAAAAACATATAATTCAAAAAAAAAACACCCTTTTTTTGGATGTAGTTAATCTGCAATAATACCGGCACGATGGACAGTACCTACAGGCACGATGGACAGGCACGATGGACAGTACCTAACATTCACGATGGCCAGCACTTAACAGGCATGATGGACAGTACCTACAGGCACGATGGACAGGCACGATGGACAGGCACGATGGACAGTACCTACAGGCACAGGCAAAATAAAGGCAAGCAACAGCCACCAGAGACCGGAGGGCGGAGCATCGTCCCGGCCGAGGCGTGTATCGCGACTGACACGGCGCGGTGGGGGGCGGCGGGGGGCGTCGGCGGCAACATTCACACTTCTGACTTACAGAGCACCGAACTTTTCGTATGGCAACACTCTCTACGGAGATGTCTTTACCAAGCAAAGTATTTACCAGGGGATATAAATGTGATAGCGATATGCCGATAAACGACGCTATGAAGTTAATTTGGTGATGTCAACAATTTGGTGATGTCAACAGTTTGGTGATGCCAACAATTTGGTGATGTCAACAGTTTGGTGATGCCAAAAATTTGGTGATGTCAACAATTTGGTGATGTCAACAATTTGGTGATGTCAAGAATTTGGTGAACAATTTGGTGATGTCAACAATTTGGTGATGTCAACAGTTTGGTGATGTCAACAATTTGGTGATGTCAACAATTTGGTGATGACAACAATTTGGTGATGTCAACAGTTTGGTGATGCCAAAAATTTAGTGATGCCAAAAATTTGGTGATGGACTCAATATACGCAGTACGTCAAACTCAGATGATTCGATGGGTAAACTTAACGAAAAATACGTATTAATTTACCTTGCGCATAATTTAAACATCGCCATCTTTTGAGGGAATAAAGGTAATATGAAAGTTCTTCAACACGTCCGAAACGTTTATTAGGGCCGACGTCTACGTTTATGCGTCAAAGGAGTTTTTCAATAGCCAAGCGTCAGTAAAAAAAAATTTTATATCATGACGACGTTTTTGTGGGATAACGTCAACTCAGGACGCCTGCACGTCTCCTACGTCAGTTAACCAAAGACTTGAGATAACTAAAATATAGTTAATAATTAGCATTAGTAACAAACTAAAATATTAGTTTCATATTATCTTCACTCCTTGCTGAGACACCATCAAATGGTGCGGGCAACTGTACCACATTGCTGAGACACCATCATATGATGAGGGCAACTGTACCACAGCTAATTAGCATATATTGTTAGCTGGGGTAGCATATGCCCAAATTAAATTTTTTTAGTAATTTTATGAGCTCCATATCTTCTGATTTTGATTATATTATTCTTCGATGTAATTTTCTTAAAGTGTTAACAGACTTTTTTTAATCATGAATTTCATAATAATTAAATTGAAATTAAAGTAAATGTTATGGCAAAAGTTATTCTTTTTATATTGATTATATATTATTCTTCGGTGTATCTTTCTTATAGTGTTAACAGACTTTTAATCTTTCAATTAATTATCAAATGAATTAAAATTACATGTTATAGCCAAAGTTACTGTTAATTTGGGACACTTTAGGCCATACTTTAAAGCCATACGAAACCAATGCTTTATATTGGTTTAGCTGAATTTAGACATGATAACATTACCACCGAATATATTATTATTATTATTATTATTATTATTATTATTTTATCATTATTATTATTATTATTATTATTATTATCGTCATTTATTTCAACAACTGTCATTGAAAGGTAAGAAAATAAATAAATGAAAATAATATCATTTTAGTGTTAAACATGCATGACACGCAGCTGCACGTATTGTGCTGTGTGTGTGCAGAGCACGTGAGTATTGTGCTGTGTGTGTGCAGAGCACGTGAGTATTGTGCTGCGTGTGCAGAGCACGTGAGTATTGTGCTGTGTGTGCAGAGCACGTGAGTATTGTGCTGTGTGTGCAGAGCACGTGA